CTGAAAATGCCATTATTTTCACTGGAGAGATCTCTTACAGCATCCTGTTCTTGTCTTGTTGGATCAGATCCCACCAGGTAAAGTCATCTCCTCCCCCATTCGCTGCTGCTCTGCTTCACAAATCTGTAAAATCTGACCCATAACGGATATTTAATATCCTTTTATGTTCACTTAAAAACAAAGCACCCCACCCCCAAATGCTTTGAAGTAAATTTAATGTTTCCAAGTGTAATTTGGCATATTTTTATATGGTAAAAATAGTAGAAATAATTTGTTAATAAAATTATTATTTCTGGAGATCAGTATGTGTAGGAAGAGTGATTAGGTGATTTTTAAAGGCTGAATGCAGATACTATTAATCTATTTAATTTTGCTTTAATAAACTCAGGTAGAAAACATTGATGAACATATGCTGCTTGTATTAAAGTGGTAAATATAAGAATATTGCAGATCCTAGACAAATTGTTTGTATTATATATGTTGTTCTCTGCTAAATGTCTGACACCAGACTGTTGTCATATTTCCACAATTTTCCTCAATGTTATTTAAGTAATAAAAATTTCTCTCAAGTTCAGGATACCAAATACTTCGTTTCAGCAATTTAAACTGAACAATATGTAAATCCTCACCAGCACCTGTAATTTTTGGGCTAGGCAGTGTACAAAATTTTAACATTTCAGTGTACAAAATTTTATTTGAAAACCTGTAGCTCAGTCATGTAAAGAAGTTATTCAGATGGCATTAAATATTATTTTTTTTTCTTTGCAAGATTAGGAACTAGTATTCTTCTGGTGTCTTGACAGCATCTTTGAAGGAAATCACTTTTAACAGAAGTCTGTGTTGTTTGCCAATCAATACTGGCATAACAAAGCCATGTAACACTCTCTCTTTATACTGTTTAAAAGCCTAATTTTAAAACAGGAGTTTGCTTCTTCCCTCTGTGTGATCTGCTCTGTTGTGATGCAGAAGAAACAGTTGACACTTCCCTGCTTTTTCAGTGATAAATCATGATGTATATTGATCAGTACCACTCAGCTCACAGCCCAACAGCAATGTTTTAGATTTTAGTCTGGTGCTAAGAAGGGAAAAATCTTCCAAGTATTTGGTGTTTCTTTAGAAACATTTGGAAATCTGCTTGGAAAGTTGGCACCAAATTTAGTTTGCTAACATTACAGGTAAAGGAGAAAATTGTGCTTGCAAGTGTAAAGAAAACAGAGGTTTAATTACTTGGTTTTTGTGGCTGTTGAAATGTAACTTATTGAAACAGCCTATCATTGCTGCAAGTAATAGTGCCTGGAAGTGATTTTCTGTTTTCTTTCCATCATTAATGGCTGCAAAGCTGAGCAGAAGTGAAAAACAGAGCCCATATTAACATTTGTTGGAACTCCAAACAGGTGTATTTCAAGTGCAAGGGTATTCATGTTTTCCTTCATTAAAAAATTACTTTTTTAAAGTGCCAATGGGAAGGGTATCTACATATGGATATGATGTGGTTTTAGAGTGTTGTGTTTGAGCTGCATCTCATGATAAGGAGGCACTAATTTTCTCAGAATTCATGCTTTACAGAAGTCCTGAGCATGAATCATTTGGCTGGAGATCTCTTGATCCAACATTTCTCCAGTCCAACTTTATTTTTTTTTTTTTCAGTGTCTGGTCTAAAAAGCAAGTCAGTAAGATTAACTATGATTTAACTTCATTGTCCTCTAAAAGTATCTCATTCAAACAGCAGGAACAATATTATATGAATTGTCAAAAAGTTAAAAATAAGTAAATGTTTAAATTACATCAAGTTTGAAAAATAGCAGTAATCCAAGTTATTAGCCAATAATAAAAAAATAGGAAACATCAGTATAACTGAATTATCAGCTGAAACCTTACTGAGTTTATCCATGCCTATGACAAAGAAGTCGATAGGAAATAAGAAATAAATTAGAACCCCAGAAATGCATGTTCCAGAAGCTTCTCCTAGCACAGACCCCCAGTAGAACTGGGTGGTTTTTCCCTTTAATTGAATTCCTCTCTCAATCTGGTTGGTGTTTCCAGCTGCTATTTAAAAGACTTGTCTCCAGGGAAACGCGATCTCTGTGGGACTGAGAGACCCTGACTGACAAATTACAGAGTGCCTGTAGTCAGGAAAAGTGACTCTGCAAAAATGACACCGTGGGCTCCCATATTTCCCCTTCTCTGGGACTTCCAGCTGCAGCTGCCTCAGCTGGCAAGCCAGGCAGGGATTTTTCTATTATTCGTGTTGTAAGAAATGAAGGGATGGAAGGATTTTTAAGTTAAGAAGCATTTATTGTTTGGATAAATATTAGTCTCAGAGGCTGTGAGATTTTAGACAAGTGGGTATTTGGTTATAGTCAAGAGTAGTAACTTTTCAAACTAATAGACAGCTGCTACAGGATTTATTGCATTTTTTAAAAACTCATTACTTTTACTTATTTCTACTGTACTCTGGATACTTTTATTTAATGGGCTTTAAACTTACATGTACACATATGCTTTTATTATAACTTCCAAACCTTTAGAAGTTATAATATATATATGTAGAAGCTATAATATATATATAGATCATTTAAACTTCTGAACTCTACAACTACACCCTTACAATACAACTTTTTACTATGTTATTTGTACAGTTCCTCACTTAAGGTGTATTCTTTCTTGTAACTATAGAAATAGATGTTTATTATTTTTTCTTTAATAGTTGTCTATTTTTATATTAATTTAAGCTTCTTCTAAGGTTGTAGATCAAATATTTCAGTGTTTGTGGAAGCTTTTTATTTTTCTGATTCCCACATTTTTCCAGCTGCCAGGGTTTTTGTTCAGCATGGGAATACAGGAACGAGCTCTGGTTCTTCCTCTCACTGCCAGGCAGCAGTGCTGGCTGTGAGACCTGAGGTGGTGGCGTTACTTCTGGGGTGCAAGGCAAAATTCTTCTGGATTTTCCTAATTTTTAAACAAGAAATTTAATTTTTGCTTGTTTGTGGGCTCTACATAGTTCACACCACCTAATTCACACTGATCCTTGGTTAGAACAGTGTGTTATTTTAACTTTCTGTGATTATAGCTTGATGCAAGTCTCACACAGAACAGGTTAAGTTTGGAACATCTTTCTTTACAGATCAGCAACTTTAAGTAGCCTGTTCACCACTTGAGAGTGCAAAAGGAATATTTCTCCCATGTGTGTGCACATATATTAACTAATTTTTTTTTTTGTAAAACTGTTGGTAGTGTTTTGAAATCAGGTAAACCTCAGGAGTGAGAGTTTTGCTCAGGAAGCAATGGCACAAAAAGTCAGGTTTGTTCATGCTCTCTCATGATTTTCCCTCTGGGAGAACCACTTATGCAGCTCAGCAAATGAATTTTATAGGTTTACTTTTGTCTTTCCAAGTGTCTTTCGGGTTTTTATAGCAGTAAATGTTTAGGCCATGTGGCCTGAGCCTTTTTATGGTCAACAGGAGCTCGTTCCCTGCCTTGGGTCAGTCAGAAGCTGATTGAAGATGGCTCTGTGGGCTGGACAGGTGAACTTGAGCCTCGTGGTTGAAGGAACCTGACCCCTGGTGTAGAGCTCTGCTGGGTGTTTTCCACCCTGACCTCAGCTCCATAAGTGTGCTGGGCCAGCAGATCAGCAGGCTGAGTGAATATTAAGGTAGCCTTGATTTTCTGCAGGAACAAGAGGAAGAGGCTGGGAACTTCCCCTCTGTGCTGGGGGCAGATGGAGCTCTGGGCACTGGCTGAGCTCTCCTCCTGCACAGAGGGGATGGTTGGTACCCTAATGCCTGTGCAGGGACAGTTGTCTTCTGGAAAATATTTTACCTGTTTAATAGAACACTTTTTAATGCTCAGGTTGGGTGAAACTTAGTTGTACTTAACCATTTCAAGCCAGGAAGCAGATATTTTTATCAAATTCAATGAGCTTTCTTTGTTTTATAAAACAGTGGCAACATATTAATGATAGCAATTCTGTGTCTCTGTTCCTTTTACTCATTTAGAAATCTATTATCATAAAGCCCTTTTTGTTTTATTTTTCAATCAACCATCATCAGACATTTTATATTTTAAATTTCTTCACATGAGCATACCATTGTTCTAAAATGATCCTTTCTGCAGATGAGTGTTGCACTAAAATTTCCCCTGATTATTACTTTTGACATCAGTACTTTATTGAATTAGCTGTTTCCAATTTAATTATACTTGCTTCATTGTCTAGGTCACCTTTTAAACAAATTCATATCAGTATGAAATTGCTGTTATTACTGAATTGGACTGTGATGGCTCTATGCTCATGAAGAGAATTTCTCCTTTGTTCACATTTAGAAAAGTTGAGTTAAGATTAATTTATTTAAATGGTTTATAAATGTATTATTTCTGCTAGTAAAAGTGGATCCAAATAATATTTGCTTGTTCAGTTTTTAAAAAACATATGTGAAACAGTATTGTTAAGAAATCCTTAGTTTAATTACTGTTCATTCCAGAAAGTGAAAAGGTAAAGTACAACTTTTCTATTATTTTTATTTCTGAGACATACAAAATGTGTGAGGTCTTCATAAACTCAAGCACAGACATTTGTCCTTGAAGGGCACAAGGTGCAGAGAACTTTTCCAGCTGATATTTAAACTTCCAAGCCTTCCTACTAGCCTTGGATGGAAATATCCACTCACAGTTGTTTTAAAATGAGGTTTTAAACTCAGATTTGGCATAACAAATACTGGTCATAAATAACTGAACCAAAATGTAGGAGAGGTTTAATGATAGATAGAACTGTAATGACAAAATAATTGCTAATTTTAATAAGAACATGTTGGTAAATCAAATTCCTTATAAACATCTTTATAATCCCATTATCCTCTCCAGTTGAGACATGCTTTTTAATGAGGTTGAATAGAGGATGTTAACAACTTGTATTAATAAAACTAGTGCCATTTATATGAACTAAGCCAAGTGTTGCTACCAACAGGTGGTCAACTGAATGTTTAATTTTTTTCTTTCCATTGTAGATGTCATATCTGCAGAGCTTTGGTGCAAACAAAATACAGGTTTGTATAAACATCAATTTTTTAGCTTGCATGAGTCTGCTTGAATACACTGTTTATATGTGACTGTTTTTCTTTGAACACTTTTCATTGCAATATTCCCATAGTCAGCATTAAAATTTTAAAGGTTTGGATTTTCTTCATGGCACAAATATATATGAATGAGTTTATATGCATAAATATTTATGTGGTGATACACATGTGAGAGGAGCCAGTCTGATTTTTACTTATGCCTCAACATATGTTATACATGAGGTGAAAAATTGTGTAGATAGGTGTACTCTAGGGACTGTCCCTGTCTTCTTTCTCTCTCTCTTTGCTTTCTCCTTCTTTGCTTCCTTTTCTATCCCCTTTCCATAGGAACATGTATTTTCCTTTATCAATTAACAGTTCTCAGATATAATACTCAGATATAATATGAAATATATTATTATTATTATATTATATATTATTATATATTATTACAATATATATTATATTACATTAAATTATCTCATAATCATAATAATTATAATATTATATTTATATTGTATTATATCAGATTTTATAATATTCTCAGATATGTAAATAAAGGGCATTTGTCCTTTATTTTTACCTGAAAAATTTATCATAGAGAATCCTCCCCAACTCCCCCTTGTACAGCACGACAGGACAACATATAATACCAATTTTTGCAGTGCAGAAGTCTACAAAGTGCTGGCTTTCAGCTGGGGCTAATTTAGAAGCCAGAAGGATAAAGCTGAAAAAATCTGTTATACAAGACATTAAAAATGAAAGCCAAGGCAATGAGCATGGGATGTCACATTGCAGGGGCCTGGAGTGACAGGGTGGGGGAATGGCTTCCCACTGCCAGAGTGCTGGGTTAAGTGGGATACTGGGAAGGAATTCTTCCCTCTAAGAAGGTGGTGAGACCCTGAACAGGTTCTCCAAAAAGCTGTGGCTGTCCTTGAATCCCTGGAAATGTCCAAGGCCAGGTTGGACAGGGCTTGGAGCAACCTGGAATAGTGGAAGCTGTCCCTGCCCATGGCAAGAGGTGGGATGAGATGGTTCTTATGGTCCCTCCCAGCCCAGGCAATTCTGTGATTCTGTTATTGCTGAGATGTTTTGCATGGTTTAATCCCTCTCAAAGAGGGTGTTCTATACACTGTTGTACATTGATGGGGTACAGAACATGCTCTAGCTCATGGTATATACTTTAGCTCTGTGCAGTGCCATGTTCAGAGCATCTCCAAAATGAAGCCATGTTAATAGCCAAAGTGAGTGGCAGGGTCTGACTGTCCTCCCCTGTGAGGCTGAGCTTCAGCATCTTGAGGCCCTCAGGTTTCCTTTCACTGCCTCCCACACTTATTTATCTGCAGGAGGGTGCGAGCAAGGCCTGCTCTGCTTTTAGGGACACACTCCAATGGATTTGGTGGCACCTGGACTGTGACCCCTGTACCATTGTGCCCAGGGATGAGTGCTGCTGTGGGATCAGACAGAACTCTTGTTTTTGGCCCCCGGTCCAGCCTGGGCTTTTGGGATGTGTTCATGCCCATGGGAGGTGCAGAATAACCTGGCTGCATTGTGCTGGCCTTCAGTCCAAGGGATGAGTGCTCACTCGCATTTAGATAAAACCATATGGAGCCTGGCAGAAATTTTCATAAATACCAACGTTTGCCAAGGCTACTAAAAAATCACTTGGAACTGATGGGCACATTATTAACCACTTGATCTTTGATGTTTGCTGTATATCCCGTGAGCTGGGAAAGCACTTTTCTTGTGGAGCCATTCTCCCTGCTGTCAGAGGGCTGGATCTGAGGTAATAGAACCAGGAGCTCAGCAGTATTTCTTGTGCTGAGCTTGAAAAAGATGTTGGGAAAATGTTTTGCCGGAAACTTTGATGTTTCATAAACAATAACAGTGTCTTTGAAAATGTGTCCTCTGAATTCATGAGGAAGTTTGAAGATGGGTGAAAATTTCTTTCAAGGGAAAAAAATATAAACCCAGCATTTAATTTACATTGACACAATTCATTTGACAATTCAACCTTAATAATAGACTAGGGTATGCTGTTAGGTTATGTTATGCCAAATCATATTTTAAGGAACAAAGCCTTTTCAGTCAGCAGCTGCTGAGGTTTGAGGGAACAAATTAATTTTGGAAACTGTGTGTTAATATTTGTCCAAAGGCAAAGTTGTGCAGATCATCTGTTTTCTGGGACATCTAAAAATATTATATGTTATGAATTAGAAGAGAAATAAACTTCAAAATGTCAAAATCTCATGTAAACCAGAAATTCTCCTCATCAATCAGCTCTGTTCAATGCATATCTTGTGACATTTTTGCAGCCAAGGAAGAGACCCTTTATCACCGCCCCAAATTCTCATGGGAAGGACTTAAAACATCATCCTAACAGGACTCACGTCATCAGCATCCAGCAGGAGCTGACCAGGTAAGATCCAGGAGAGATGCTGCATTTAAAAACCACACTAGTGACATCTGCAGATTCTGAAAGTCCTGTACTGGGGATTAAGAAGTAAAAACTTCAGATTTTGTGTAAATAGAGAACTTCCAGCTGATATGGCTTGTGCTTAATAAAGTCTCTGTTCTTTATGGGAGCAAAGGGACTGATCTGTCCAGAGAAACAGAGAATGCACCTGAAACACACTGACCTCACAAGCTGCATGTGGGACTGCTGTGGAAAATGGTCCTGGGTCAGTGATACAGCCTGGAGCAAGCTGGAGCACACAGGCCATGGGGTGCTTCCTTTTGGACAAATTTATTTTCTTCCTCTAACTTTTCTTCCTCTAACTTTAAGAGTGCCAGAATACTTTAGTAAAAGGCAGACAATAAAGGAAGCAGCATGCACGAGACAACTTGCCGGAAATTTTGCTAAATTAATAAATATTGAGAATGAAAATAATAGAATGATGTGCTTTGGAGAATCACACAAGGGTCAGCACTACCAACCTGACTTAACAGTCACCAATAAATAAGCTGGTTTATGTTGGATTCCCTCATGGGGAGTTTGTTTGGATAAATACTCTAATTTGAGTGGTGAAAATATTTTATTAAAACATAGCCTTGACTGGATCCCTAGTGTCTTCAGACTTAGGGAGAGATTTAATAAATGAGGCCCTGCAACTTTTATTTAGTGTCTTCAGGTGGTAAATTAACTACAAGTAGGCTTCCCTATTGTTCAATGAAAGCAATAAGAGCAGAGGGAGGATTAAAAGCCAGACATTAATTTACATCTGAGTAAATGGGCTAAAGAGGCAGAGACCCTATTCTTGGTATTTAGTAATATTCCTATGAAGGCAGAACTTCATAGAAATGAAATATAGAGCATATTTTGAATATATGAACAAACTCCTTTGTACTAGTTCGTAAATCTATTTGCCATGCCACTAAAACCAACATTATTTCATTGCTTTACTTTTAGAATGTTCTTTGTAAGTGAAACTAAGAATAAATTTGGGGGTTTTGGGGCCCTTCATGTTACTACCAACTGATGCAGAGAAACATCTGTCCACTGAAGTCAGCTCTGGCTGGCAGTTAAAGCAGTGGGATAAGAGTTTTATGTGGGTTTTCTTTTTCATGATTCATGCTGCACGAGAGAAGAAAGAAAGAAATTCCCTTTGCTGTGCCCTTTGTTTTTGGTGGATGTGTGAGAAGGGGCTTTACAGGAGGGCATCAGCAGCTAAAACAAGAGACAAGATCCAGTCTGGCTGGAAAATGGGTAGGGAAAAGGTGGAGAGTGACAACTGTGCAAAAAAACCCTTCCAAATGATCTGGGAAATGATCACAAACTCCTTCAGGGCTGTTTCTGTGCACCTTCAATGCTTGTGAGCAGAGGTGGGACCTCTGCACAGGGCCCTGCTGTGTAACCTCACAGGAAAGCTGAGCACAGAGCTTTTCCCTTGCTAGGAAGCATTCTTGGGACATCTCTGCTCCCCTCAGGCATGTTGTCATGAAATCCAGAGGAGTCCCATCCCTTTTTCTGCTGAGTTCACTGTGAGGGACATGACAGCATGAGCATCTCTTCCCGGGGAAGCTGAACTGAAAAACAACGTGACAGACATGGGGAAAGAGGAAGGTGCAGATGGGACCAAGGGGGGTGGGAGAAGATAAAAATACCCAAGTTACAGAGACAGACACACAATGCCAAGGCTGGGGAGAGTTGGACCATCTGGTTGTGCTGCAGCACCTCTCCATGATCATCTCCTCTCTTTGCTTCTCTTTGTTAGCAGAGGAGATAAACTGAGTGAGGTGTAACATGAAGGCTTTGGTGTAAGGCAGAGGATGAAGTATCCTGCATTAAGCAAAGCTTGTTTTATTCCCTGTGATTTGCACGAGCTCTCTCAGGCTGTGGCAGTGATTTGCTGCTTGCACATTTTTCACTGCAGCAGTGGCTGCTTGCAGCCCCTTCCCTCATGGATAAATTGGGAATCCCTGGAGCAAAGCTGGGCCTGCTGGTGTTTTACATGCCTGGGTCCAGTTAAAGCCCACTTGCATGACAGTAGATGACCTCTTCTCAAGAGCTGTGTGGTGCACCCTGCCACCAGGCTAGTTCAGAGCGTTCCTAATGAACACAAGGCCTTCCACTGCTGTCTTTGTCCAGAATGACAGCCAGAGCTATGATTGTATGGCCTAAATGTGCTATAAATGGTTTATTTTCCTCTGGTCTGCGCTACAGCTGACAGATTGTAGCTGTGGCTGCAAGGAAGAGTGATGATCCTGTGCTCATGGCACATAAACCACCCAGAGTGATCCCTTAGATCCCCCCAGGTCACCATGGCCATGGTTTGGCACCTCCAGGTGGGAGCTTGCAGTGCCACAGCCTCTTCTCCTGGAGAATGAAGAGCAGCCCTAAGCCTCAGTCAGTCGGGCACATTTAGTGGGCATTAAATGGGCTTAGGAGGGATGGTGAGAAAAGCATTTGGGAAGCATAAAATAGATCCAAAAATCATCTTCATGCCTGGAACTGCAGTTTGAGTGTTTGCAGCAGAACAGAAATTTTACGTGGAGACAAATTTTGAGCAAAACAACCGTGGGGAGAATGTGACAACTCAGCAGAGCTGCTGCCAGGCTGATGGCAGAGGGGAGTGCTGGGTGCACCTTCTGCCTGTAACTAAAAGTGAACCTGTGTGCAAGTGATGCCATCCCTGAAAGAAGCCCTGCATTATTTAGCATTTGGCATGCAGTGTTATAAGGTGGTTGAATGACAGCCACAAAAGCATGGTACATTGTTCATAACAGTCAGGTGTCAGCAAAATGGATTGATATCTAATAAGGAGCACTGTTGGGTTCAATTGGATGGGGTAAATGTTCTGTAATAGCTCTCTGAAGTTTCTTGCAGTTTCCTCTAGTGGTACCTGAGAGAAGTAAAAATATATGTATTAATACAGATATTAAAGAATTAGCAGAGTACAGATATCAAAAAATTATTATCTAGGAAGATCTGTTGGAGCCATATTCTTGTCCACTGGTTCCGGTCCTTCTTGACAGGATTCAAATTTCTATACTTAGGTTCAAAATATTTCAAAAATGCTTAGGGAAAGATGCAGCTGCCACAGGGAATGCAGTTCTTTGTTAGACTGACCATAAGCATGTCAAAGCATTAGGAACAAATGGAATTTCTTTAGCCTAAGTCAGCAAAGTTAACAAAAACTTAATATATTTTCTAGTGCTACTAATATGAATTTGCATTAATATAATAGGAAAAAAAATCTTTGGCCTCTTATTCAAGACTTCTAAAATAGCAAGGCCTATATTACCTTGAGGATAAGAGCTCTGCAGAAAACTCCTTTTGCCCATAAGAACAGTTTGCTGCTGTCATCAAATTCTGCTGCTGACACAGACCCAGATGAGCTGTCCTTGCTTTGCTGTTTAGTTCATATATGTTTAAAAAATCTGCCAAACTGTCAGTGAAGGTTTCTGTTCAGGATTTGTGATAATGCAGTGGCACCTTCTTAGTTTAAATCTAAGCAGAAATCTGAACGAACCCCTCCCAGTCACACAGACTCCCTGTCTTGTGTGCAGAAGTTAGTGAAGTGATATGAGAAATTTTAAGTGTCTTTTAAGCACATCCATTTGATGCTCTAAATTGCACAGATTACAGGTGAAGTAAAATCTCCTGTATGTGCTCTGGCACTCAGGAATATGATTTGGTTTGTTTCCTGGTGTGACTTGATCTTATCAAGACTTGTGTCTTTGCAAAGCACTGGCATTTGAATAGGTTTTTTCTGGCTTGGCTTTGTTCCATACCATCTCTGTTGTTATACAAAGGTGTCATTAATTAAAACAGTCGTCCTGCAGATGCTTTCATTTGGGAATTGCTCCTGGTAAGGTCTCAATTTGCACCAGGGTGATGTACATAAAAGGTTAGCCTTAAATAAAACTTCAATCTATGGAATTCAATGTCTTGATGGAAACGCACCCCAAGAAAACTCTGCCATCAGTGGTGATAGTAAGCACAATCTGAATTTCACCTGCAGTAGCTTTGGTCTTGAAATCAATAGCAGGGAACTTCCTGTCCTTGCAGGCACCCATCGTTGGACAAAAGATTAGGACAATAAATTATTGCCTCACATGATCTCCTTGGATGTGCTATAGGAGTGAGTGATGCAGAATGCCCTAACCTTTGCTGCAGCAGCACAAAAAGCAGACCCAGAACTATGCAAAGAAGTAAAAGTAATGAAAACTGTTGGGTTTGCACATCTTAGGCAGAGCAGCAAATTTGCTGTGTCTGAATCATAGTTGAGGTAATTAGAGCAATCAGCAGTGAGCTATGGCAAGAGCTGAAAATCAGAAATCCTTGGGGGAACTGTTGGGTATATTTAACCCATGTACAGATGCACAGACCTGGAGTGCTGGGACAAAGCTTGTTCAATTTACTTACCTTCAGCTGGTGCTTTTGTTGGGTTTTGCAGACAATTTCTGTTTGGGAAGCAGAGCCTTGATTATTATTGGTAGTCTGGGCCTTGCTAAGTAAACGAGACCTTTTATTTTGTTTGACAGCTGAGATATTTTTTATTGCTGGTTTCTGAATTCTGTCAGTGTGGAATATCAAAGGAAAATAAAAACCCTCTCTTGATTTTGCTTCTCTTACAGCTTTTAAGAACTTGAATATGCTACTCTTAGTGACATCTATAATCCCACCTGTGTCCTGAATAGAAGAAGTAGATGTTTGAGGTGGTTATTGTATTTTGTGATTCTTACTGTGCTTTTGTAGCAGACCAACTATGATGGGGTGAGATATTTCTGGTTTACAGCTGAGAATTAGGGTTGGTCATCCTGGAGAAGAGAAAGCTTTGGGGATACCTTGCCTGAAGGGGCTCCAAGGGAGCTGCAGAGGGACTTTGGGCAAGGGCCTGCAGTGACAAGACAAGGAGGAATGGTTTCAAATTGAAAGTGAGTAGATTTATATCAGGTGTTAGGAAGAAGTTCTCCCCTGGCACAGGGTGCCCAGAGAAGCTGTGACTGTCCCTGGATCTCTGGAAGTGCCCAAGGCCTCGTTTTATGGGGCTTGGAGCAACCTGGGATAGTGGAAGGTGTTCCTGCCCATGGGGTTGGCATGGTTCCTTCCTATGGTCATGAAAAAGGGTGAGATTGAGAGATGGATGTGATGTTTTAATAAAGATATCTGTATCAGAGGATAGGGATCCACAAAGCAATCTGGCTAGGTACAATATTAAATCAGAGGTGCCAATATCACCCTTTTACCTCTTTTGAACTTTGAAGTTTTCTTTTATCGTTGTTATGAAGAAGAAATACTGTAAGTTCATGGGAGGAAACAGAATTGTTTGTATATCATGAACACAAAGGTGGTTTGAGATTTGTACTTTTCCCCCCAAAATGACAGCAAGAGGCCTTACAGATGCATCTTTAAAAGCTCAGAAGTTGAGTTACATGCATCCTAAATAGCAGAAAATTACAGAAACAGTAGTGTTATGATTTTGTGGCATTTCCTGAATCAGCTCCAAGCTGACACTGCAGATGCCAGAAGGGACTGATTAGTATGAATATCAACACTGTAGCTGAGATACTCAAAATAAGGAACCGAGGAATTGTCAGAGACAGGGCTGGACAAAATAATGGTGAGATTAAAACAATCCTCAATACTGAAATGATCAAGTGGGATAAAAGGGGCCATGAGCATTAGGGTGCAGCTTCCCATGAAGCCTTAATACCCTTTTTGTAATTAGGAAGCCATTAGCAAGCTAAATGCTGGGCAGTGTTATTGTAACTCCCACATCATGTCAGTTAAAAAACCATTAACACGTTTGATGCACTATGAGGTAAATCAGAGATAAACTGCTCAGGTCTGAGAACATGAATTTATCATTTATCCTTTTACAGAATTTGTGTGCGTGTGTCTGGTTTCTGTTCCAGAGCTCCATGGGAACACCATGTTCTTCCCTGAGTTTCCAGTTCACGGTGGTTTGGACTGAAACTAGGAGGAAAAGGTTCAGTTCTGGGTCCTGCTATAAGCTTACTCTGTGATGCTGTCAGTCATTTTCTTCCTCCAATAACTCTGTCCTTTTTACGTGTGGAAAAGAAGAAAAAACAACATAGTGACTGCTATTTAAAGAACTTGGAGTATTAGAGGTTAAAAATGTTGTTATTCAGTTATATCTAGATATATACACACGCATATGAGTGTGTTAACACCCAAACCACTGAGCTTCACACTTTGACAAAGTGTCCATCTGTTTCCTACTGCTTTCAACAAGATACTCTCATGTATTAACATAAGCAGAAATGGAAGCAATTGCATTGCTAGTTTTAGCTTAAAATGTTAATCTGATTCCAAGTTTTCCATACAACATTATGGGTCAAAATATTGAGGAAGTTTAAAATATGAATATACCCACTGGATATTAAAGAAAAGTTGGAACAAACATTAACAGAAATTAAACACAGATCTACAGATCTGTGAGTCCCAAAGGTACAGATCAATAACAAATTAATAAAATATTTTGAAAGCATGCACAGGAATAATTCTTAAATTGATCTTAAAAAGCAAATCAAGGGTTTTAAGTAGAAACAAGAGGAAAAGAGGGCTCAGATGGGGACAGCTGTATTTGATACTGTACTACATATATTTTAATAAAATAAATGTAATGGTTGTTCAGTGTGATAGAATAGGGATTAAATGGAACATGTCTCACATGTATAAAAGGCTTTCAAAATGCAGCAGTATTTCTTAAATGTAAGCCTTTCTGGTGGCTTTGGATGGAAGAGGGCGACAACAGTTCAGTAGTCTTGAGCTTGAGATTTATTTCTCCATTTAATTTCTTTGTTAATTAGTTCATTTCGCTAACTAGCCATTTATGTGATGGATGATTCTTTAAGCAAATGCAACAACAGCCAGGCAAGCTTGGAAATAGTTTTTAAGAAGATCTGCCAATATTGCAGTTAGAGGTTTCAGGGATTAGTGATTAGCTGATTAATATGTACATTTATGTTCAAAATGACAACAGCCTGTGGTATTGAGATGTCTGGAGTTCACTGTTAGCACTTGGTTTTTCAAGCTGGAGAATTGCCTAAAAGGTACCTAACTTAGCATGTTGTCAATAAAATAGGTATGAGGCTTTATATATTACTTGAAATAATACATCAATCACAAAGTAGTCAATAGTCAAGGGAAGTAGAGGAGACTGTAATTGATTCTAAGAAAATATAGAACAGTGCCCAGAATTACTGTACAAAAAAAGCCAAATAGGTTACTTTCGCTTTTCTCTTTATGCCAAAAAGTGTTTTAAAACCCCTGTGGCTTTAGGGAGTGAAAACCTGGACCCACCAAAGTCAAAGGGAGTACTGATGCTAAATTCAGTACAAGCAGGATCTCACCTCGGGCTCAGGCTCTGGGAGTTCAGCAGGCAGAAGAAATGCAGGCATTTAGCTCTTGATTTATGAAATATATCTTGCCGTGTCAGATTGCTGGATTACTGCTGGTTTATGTTAACAAAGACAGGGTCAGATCTTTCTGCTGAAAGCCCCCTGATTGCTGTCATTTGAGCCCAACCCAATCTCTGTTCCCTCCTAGGAACATGGGATTTACGGAATGGATCCGAGCAGTTGTGAAGTGCATCGGTATGGAAACAGATATTGCACAGCAGCACTGATAAAGTTCAAGCCTGTAGCTGCTGATAGCCAGAATAAAAGGTGAGTGTGCTAAGGAAGAAAGGAGATCCTGTCCTATTTTATCTCACAGTCTTTTCTTCAGCATTCCCTGTTGGAGATGTGGGAAGTAGTTTAAGCAAATGTGTTTGGGCACTGTGTGGCATTTCTTGTCACTATAAGCTTTTAGGAACAATATTCTCCACTTCCTTCCCTTTTTACTAAAAGCATGAAGCAAAACAGCAAATATCTAAGTCCTGACTAATGGAGATAGCCCTGTCCTCAACACACTGGATTTGGGGATGATGTGATTTCCATGCAGGCAAGATACCAATGGGGCTGAGATATTCCAGCAAGACAAGCTGCAGAAAGGAATGGTGGTTGATCACTTCTTTCTATTCTTGAGATATTCCAGCAAGACAAGTTGCAGAAAGGAATGGTGTTGATCACTTTCTGACAGTCTTGAGTTTCTAAAACCCAGGTCAGGGCTCTTGTAGCCCTTGTGTCTACACCTGCCCCTCACACACACAGTTTGAGCTATATCCTGTACCCACAATCCCTAACATCTCTCTGATCTAAACCACTCCCTTCCCAAACCTGCTTTTCTGGCCCATTTCTTGAAACCTGCAGGTCCTCTCCAAATTGGGTGGCAAGGGCAGGTAAATGTGAGTCTTGTTCTGTGCTTGTCCTGCCCAAGGCTGCAACTGCACTGCTCTGTTACAAAGCCATGTGGTGGTTTGGGTTGGAAGGTGTCACAGTTGAGACAGAGACAATGCAAAGCAGCACATTCCATTTTCAGAAGGCTTCAAACCTGCTTTTATTATTATTATTCTAGCATTCATGCTTTTTATACATTCTTAAAAAACTCATAAGTTTACACTTTATTCATTGGTCACCAGAGACAAGCAAAGTGCTCATTGGAATAGGCACTTGCCGGTTTCTCTTATTTATCCTTCTTTCACTCTTGGTTTCTATGTCAATGACCTCTGTAGAAAATTCTTTCAGGGGCAAACATGGATCTTCCTACCAAACTTCTCTCTGGCTCACAGAAGTGGCTGTAAAACCTCTTCCCAGGAAGGGATTTTAAAGCTCATTTTGTTCCAACCCTCTCACGCGGGCACCTCTCACTGGACCAGGTTGCTCAGAGCTCCACTCAACCTTTTTGTAGCTTTTTAATATCAGCATGTGGTGCTTCCCTGGTATTTCCCAGCACTGCCTTACCCTTAACTTCAGGAACTCTTACCTACTCTGGCTATAAGAGGAATTGGAGAGACAAAAGGAAGCAGGGAAGGGTGTGGTGAGCACTGGTGAGGATCTTTGGTGAAAGAAGTTTGCACATCCTCTTGGTGCACTGCCTTTCAGGCGAGCCTTAGCTGCTGTTACCCAAGCTGGTGCTTCCTGCTTGTCTGGAAAAAAAAAAATCTTTGATTTGATTTCATCTAAGTCACCAAATACACAAATCACAGAGCTGTGTGAACTCTGTAAACGCAATTTAGTGCTTTGAGTGAAATGTCCCAGAAATAACAAAACAACCAGGGAAATGATAGAGTCCTGCTTCATTTATGGAGTGAGATATTTGTTATTGTAGGAAAATAACGATGCAAATAGGATTCTCTCTGTTGTGGTTAGGGTGATCAGGAAACATGGGTGGGTTTGGTTCTTGGAGAAGGAGTGGAGTTGTACAGAACAGTGAGTTCAGTCCCTGCTTTGCTGTGTGCCCTCCCTGCTTCCAGAATGGTAAGGGAAAAAGAACCCAGAAATGGGGTTTGAAACAGGAAAAACCAGAATTCTGGGTAATGCAGTTTGTTAGTTTGCAATTCTGCTTTGCACCATAAATCCTAGAGTTAACATTATTCGAGCTAAACTGTGGTAGAAGAAATACCTTATTTTCCTTGACCTTTCTGGAATTATTGAGATTATTTTCTTTTAAGAACATGCAGAAAGAAAGGCTATAAATATGGAAATATTCTTATAAACTAAACATATGTTTTTGAATCGAAAATAAATCAAAAAATCTTTGAGCTTTGTAGTGCTTCTGTTGAAAATATCAGATTATTTTGGTCCAGACAAAAATTGAACTTAAGGAATTAAATTAAATTAGCATCTATAAGGTGCCAGATGTTCTATTCATGTATTTTCCTTAAGATATGCATCAAAATTGCAAGTGGATCAGAAGACAGTTGTTATACTAAATTCTAAGTCAATAAACAGATGCGAAGGGGTTTAAGAAATGTTGGGGTTTTTTTCCCCTTTGTGGAGGAAAAATTGAAATGATGAAAATGCAAAGTAGTCCCAGACATTTTTATGTGCTCATGCAGTTTCAGTATTTCTGATTTTTTCAAAATAATAAATGACAATGAAGATCTTTTTGTATAGCAAAGGAAATTTATGAATTGCAGCGAATACAGGAAAGAACTTTTAATGTAAATACTGCAATACTAGTATGCTGTTTATGGCCATCTATAGATCTCTTTATACATTTTTATGAGATTTACCATTCTGCATTTTTTTTGTTTGCTTGTGGAAAAATGAATGCAGATTCTTCAAGTTTGAAAGATTTTTTTTCTTCTTTCCACAAATAGCTTTATCTCCTTCTATTCTAAGAAATACTGCCTAGAAGAGTCTTGTGTTATTGTACTATACAGTAGAACATGGGATAGGAAGTAAAGAAGATATGGAACAAAAATTTTAAAGCCAGTTTGTAAAACAAGCTTCAAGGGATTTGTAAACCCTTTTACACATTATTTGCTCAGAAGTATATGTTTTGGATTATTTTCATCATTTTACAGTTTTATCGGTGAAATCCCAATCCCGATGTAACTTCTTGGAGCACTTACACTGCTATAATTCTCTAAGTTTACAGAACATTTCCTCCCCAGTGCCAGTCTAAGCACCATGGAGAGTATTTGGCATCGTCATGGTTTTCTGGATGTGAAAAAAGGGCTGACTGATTTATGTGATAAAGCCACTTTGCTTGTTGTGTCAATTAATACCTGTTCAAAAGCTCAACCTGAAGCTGATATATTGAGAAATTAACAGATATATAGTCTATAATCCCACTGCATTTGCACTTATTTTATTGTAGATGATGGATCTGCAGTGTGTAGCAAGGGATACCCCAGAGCTGCTGGAACAGATTCTGAAAGCAGCTGAGAGGAAAGCTCTCCTCCCAATTCCAAAGTCTCTCCAGCCTCCTGGCAATAAGGAATAGAACAATAAATCAGGAAGTGAAGCACAGGTTGAAAACCAACACTCAGAAAGCAGAAGAGGTATCACACAAACAAACTTGGCAAACCTACAGAGTCCTTGCTCTCTGGTTATTAATAAGGAGCTCTGGAGGTTAATCTACTTTCTCAGTGGTAGTTTTATTTGTTTTCCTACACACACAAGCTCTGTCCTCTTTCCTCTCATTTTGATGGTCTGAATAACAGTGACAAATCCTTTTTATTCAAAAGTTCAATAATGTTAAATTCCATGAAAATCCCTGCAGAACCTTTACTTGGCATAAGTTCCAAGAAAAACTTATGTCCTTTTAGTAACCTGAGGACAGGCCCCACCTAACTTAGTTAATTGGGAGAACCCCAAGGAGCCACCATTACATGGCCTGTTTTGAGGGGTGGTTCCTGAGTTTCATTTTGTTGTGGTGTGTTAAGGAAAGGTTCACTGTCAAAATGATTGGCAAAAACTAATCATAAAAAAAAAATCAATATTTTTTCCACTCTAGCAAAATTCTATGAAGAGGAGTCTTGATCTGCCTCACCTCAAGCACCTCAGGTTGTAGTAGGTACCCAAACTCATCACTTCTGATGTAATAGTGGAAAGGAATTGAATATCTGTAACAACACAGATGACAAGTTCTAGCTGTGTGAGAGGAATTTCAAAGTAAGTTCTCCTTGATCAGTTATTTTCACAAGACTGAAAGGAATATTGCCCCACAAGATCAAAATACAGTGGGGTGGGTGTGATGGTGGTAGTAGGGGAACAAGACAAACCCCCAAAACACAGATAACTAAACAACCCCAGGCAATAAATGATTGGATAATTTAAACAAAATGGCAGCTGCTAAGAGAAGCTAATTAAATGCAGTGGGGGTAAAGATGGTTAACTTTAAAATATCATAGTGGTGTAGATCAAATTGTTGTCTTTCATTTTTACCTCTGAGCTTCCAAAAAAAGGATGTCTTGCTGTGGGACACATCAGAGGTAGATGTTGCTGTGTTCACCACCACTTGACATCATAAACATCAAAATAATCCCATGTAAAATCAAAACAATTGCTCTTTGGGCAGTTTCAGACCTGAGGCAACATGGGGATTACTCTAATTAAAGGGTATGTGGTTGTTCCTTTTTAAAGTAAAGTTAGTTCACATTTAGCTGTTTTACACAGATAAATGGGACACAGGCACTGAAAAGCACCAGGTTTACTGTTAAAGGGAACTTTTCTGCGCATCTTGTGCTACATAAATATGAGAAGAAGAGACTGTTCCCCATGTATAGTCTCAGTTTTGTGGTTTTTACAGTCTATAGAACCTCAGGGCATCATTCTGCTCTGTCTCTCCATACTCTGCTTTCAGAGAGTAGAAGGAGAATTTTAACATTACTCTTTTTAGACAGATTTTATCCCTGCCATTGGTGGAATGAAAATTCAAAACCTTTCCAAAAGTACTAAAGAAGGTGGGGCACTAAGATCAAAATCTTTTTTTCTCTGTCTTGGAAAGAGAAAAGTAAGATAAACAGTAAGTGTTTATCCTCTCTGTTTGCATATTCCCTTGTTCTCAGTAAAGGTAATAAAATCATAAAAGCTTAAAAATGGAGGCCAGCTCTTTAAATTTATCCTTCTCTAGTGGCTCCTTACTTGTAATTTCCATGTTTTGAACTTGCTTAATTAAATCCTGGGCAGGTTATGTTATTGCACGTAGCCATCATAGATTGTTAGCTAAATGATACTGTAATTTATACATCCTGGGCTGTTTAGGGACGTGGATGGGAAATTAGAACAAAATATGGCTACACAGCTTTTATTTGTATGCAAATTTCTGCTATTCT